AATATGTGCATCATCCTGTTCACGCTAATGACTCAAGCTCACAGCATCAGGCAGGGTTTCCTGTATTGAACTACTGCTCAGAGAAGTCACACTGATAAATGCAGAGAAACTACAGTATCACACTAGAGGAATCACTGAAAGTACTTACTCTAATCCCGCTTTTTTTTCCCATATATATATATATGTGCATTTGTTTGCATTTTTACAGGTTTCAGGAAACATTTCACAGTGTGAAACAATAAAAAATTCTAAGTATAGGTTTAAATGGCAGAATATCAAACCATAGATGAGAAGCAGTTCATTCTTAAACTGCAACACTGAACATATGAAACAATTAATATGCAATTTGGGCCAGCAAAACATTACCAACATTATTAGCAATGAAGAACAAACAGTCCATCCAACACAATACCTATGCTTAGACAAACCATACTGCTTGTCTAATCCAGATGCACATAATCTTGGATAAAGCCACAGGCAGTATAACTACTACTGCCATAAGGTGCACAGGATACCATGCCGGACTACACTAACAGTCTTAAACTAAGAATATAGCATTTTCTACATTGGCTGACTATGACTATCAGATGAAGCAAAAAACAACTCCTCCAGAAAAAAAATGTAGACAACAAGAATACATCTAAAATTTTACACGCTCTTAAGAAAAGCAAGGTGAACAACCTGCAGTTACTGACCTAGTTTGCATCTACTGTCTGCGATAACAGAAGCTTGACAAATACACTCCTTCCCCTTCTGTAGGGTCAAAGCTTAGAGCAGGTTGACTTTCACTCCAAGAGTACTAAGGCAGCTCATTAATTTTCATTTTCATTCAGAAGTGAACTGCACAATCATCTCGCAAGGTAGCTACCCAAATATCTATGAACCCTCAATCTGACTACTTCTAACCAAAGAACAACATGTTTTACCCTATGCAAAACCAGTGTAATATAACTGAAAGGATCAAGACCAAAATCACTAGCGTGCTTTGAAGAGATAATAAGAAACAAGTTCATCAGCATTTTAACCAATAGAACCCTTCCTACCCAAATGCGAAAGGAAGCAGCGGATAAGGCAAAACCAGGAACACTGCTTACTTGTTGCTATGCTTGCCTAAAAATAAATGTTGCTTTAAGGCTGCTCTGAGTTGTTTTAAATCTGCTCTGTTCAGTGACCTCAAGAATCAAACCTTGAAAGAGTGATCCTCCCGCAAGAGATTCTTACCTGCTCAAGGAGTGATCAATACCTTTGCCATTCACAGTGTTTCCATTGATCTACCTGTAGAGGAAGCTCCCCTAACAAACTGCAAATCTTTCCTCCCTTCCTCAAGGAAAAATCTGTCTCAAATACAGATTCAAAGGTACATACGGTTGTCTTAAATCCTTTTTCTACGAGAGAGAGAATCTATACTTAAATGGGTCATCAAGTACTAGTCTGATGAAAGCTCCTGCTGATAGTCTCTAAAGTTCACCAGAGCATTTAAATTAATAAAGATCTAAACACAGCTTATTCTTTTCTCAGCTGAAAGTGCCAGCAAACCCATAACAGAAATACACAAGTAAAGAACGACAACACAAAATATTTAAAAACGAAAAAGTCAATAAAAATATGCTGGCTGAATTTAACTTCCCAATGAATCGGGCTTACACCCAGTGTTATAGTAGATGGAAGACTTTAGATTAGCTTGAACTGTCTGAGAAAAACTACAGCTTAATAGTGTTCAACCTTTCCCATCTTTCACCTCCCCCTACTGTTTCTACGAATGCTCATCTGATTGCAGGAGGAGAGCACTAAGCCAGAAGAAAACTAAGTCCCCAAACCAGTCTACAACAATATTAGATAAGCAACAGTGCAAGAAAAGGGACAAGGAGGGTGAGAACAGCAGAGCAGCAGGAGCAATAGCTTAAACTGGCTTAAAACCGCCATAGAACAATACCATGAGTCTAAACTGCCTTAAGAAGAGAAGACTTTTAGAGTGGGTTTTTTTGTCCTCAAAGCGCATCTGCAAGTGATTGGGATGCCAAAAAACCAACTTGATATGTTCAAGAATCTACACACTCTAGATGAATGTTCACAATCTACCTGAAAACTTTTCCATCATGTTTCTTGTCCCATTACAGTAAATTTAACACTGTTCTTCAACACTATTTGGATTTCTTGAAAAGACTCCAAACTTTAAATAGATCCTGTCATTTTAATTAAATCCAAGAATTTTATCAGTATGTCAAAGTAAACTTTAAAAATAGAAGAATGGTTAGTAAGAAAAGAACAGGACATGTGCACTTTCGCAAATACACAGGCAGCCATCTATTTTCTCATTCTCTTCCCTTTGCAATCTTTCTTTAATGTTTTAATAAACATTACTTGTACTTTAGGTCCAAAATTCTAACATTGCCTTTAAAGATTGTGATATATAAGCTGTGTCTATGTGCATTAATCTAAACTTCAGGATGACTTTAGAATACACATTAAAGATTAGTACTGCATGTATGCTGCAACATAACTTTTCCACAGAATGCTATTTCACACAAAGACAATTCTAAGCCTAAGCCAAGTTTCATAATAATCTATCCTTCTAATTGAGTACAAGCAATCTGTTTCAAAGCCATAGAACTTAAGCTGTACCACAAGGAACTTTGACATTTCAGAAGTTTAATTTAAACAGGAACATTTTTGTGTTGTTTGTTAAAAAAAGGAGCGGGGGGGGAAAGACACATTTCAACTGTGCAACCCTGGTGAGAGTAGTGAAAAAGTAGTGACAATTATATTACTATACTGCTAATATTAAACTTTGGCTTGAAACTTGCTGTTCCTACACTAGTTTTTCTATGCAAGGTTTTGGTTACCATCACTTAAAATATTTCAGAAGCTGAAGCAAGCACTGCTTCCAAGTACATAAGCAGACGTACACACAGGCTTAATTTTCTGCTTTGCTAGTCTGATAGGGCAAACTGTAAAGAATAACAAGCTGAAACAAACTAACTCAGCTAGTCATGTGAAACTTCTCTTCAAAGCTGTCCCAAGCTCTTGCGTAGGGAGTTTACTTCAATCCATGTCTCATGGAAAATAAGTAGCATAGATGGAATATTAAAAAAAAAACCTGAGCTCACAAACAAGAAACATTCTCAGGAACACTAGAACACTCTTCTTAACAGAGAGGCCCTCCTTAAAGGGCACAAAGAGTCAGAAAGGCCAAGAACAAAAGTAAGTCATAATAAACGTAGCACCTCTTCAAAGGGTGCTCTGGAAAAGCCACACCACATGTAAAGTTAAATAAAGCGAGGAAGAGAGGGTACTGAAGCAACAGAAGTCTCTGAAATGCAAGTAACTGCACCCTGACCCCATAAAACATTTACAGTTCCTATAAAGCATGTAAAACCATTAACAGTGAAAAGGTAAGTTCCATATCTAATAACCAAGACCATATATTTACCTTTTTATGTTTTTATCTCTGCTTGAAAACTACTCCAATACTACAATTCTTCCCCTACATATCATCTACCTTCTTACAGTCAAATATCAATGGTGCAACTACCAATGAATTATAATCTTTTAAAATCTATTTAGCATTCAAGAATTATCACCAAAGAACAAGCATGTCATTCATACACTTTCAGCAAGGACTGCATGCACTGTCACCTGAATCCCCAAACATTAATCTGCAATGTCAACAAAAGATAGTTCTGTAAGAAACTACAATTAAGGCAGGTAGCCTACAAGTACAAGGGTTCCTTTGTGGACATCAATTTCACAATTATTTTGCGTAGCAGTGGTCTTTTAAGATTTTCAAAAGTGCTTTATGTTGTTCAGTCATTAAACAATTCCTTACACCATACAAAAAGAATACCTACCATTTGACAGCTAAGTTTTGCACCTCACCATTTTTATCTTCCAGTAATTTCAAAATCATCTTCACCACTTTTCTTTCACTGTCATCATCCAGCTTGATAGAATCTTTCTGTAGTTCTGTCATCAAGTCATTAGTAGCCATAAACCTGACAAAAGATAGTCAGATAATTATTGCTAAAAGGATACGGGTTATTCACTCAGGATTCAAGATTCTCAGTTTCCACCATTTGTTATCAAATAAATCACATTTAGCATTGGATTACTGTTACCTGTTTTGTGATGCAAGTAGCATTTATTTTAGTTCTAGAGTAAAAAGGAGAAAAATCATATTTAAAAATGACAATAACTTTTAGTTAGGTCATCATCCTTCCTTGATGAGATCAGCTACACATTTTACTTCCACTGTTTATGTTATATTCCAAATTATCTCCACAAAGAAAAACTGACGCTTTCACGGATTTTAAGTAGTCCTTTCATTAGCTATGCTGATGTTGTAAAAAACAGGCTTTTTTTTTGTTAAAGTTTGCTAAAGAAAATTAATCTCTGCTCTGAGTTTATTTTAAAATAACTTTTAAGCAAGAAGAAAAATACAGTTTTTCAAACATTCTCCCATAAAATTCACAAAAGCCAAACATTAATGGAGAAATAAAAGTGAAGCTACGTTTCACACGTTTTTCATTTTCTTGCCCTGTACAGACTAGTTTGTTTATAGTCCAGACAACGGCCGATCACGTTTATCCAGCCCTCAATCCGGGATGCCACATTAAAGACCAGGATTAATTCTTGAGAGATCAATTACTATTCAGTAACAGTCATATCCACCAATACAAGAACATACTGAGAAATTACTTTCCCAAAATATTGCTTTTATGCCTTTTGTTTCTTCTCCTTCTGAAGTGTGTTTTCCAATCTGTTCTTCTTTTGTAAGCGTCCTCTCTTCTCAGAAGAAGTCATACAGATGTATTACTCAATTACAAATCCCATGGGCTTCAGTACCAATCCCAGCCCACATTCAAAGCCCCAGACAAAAATGGTTTGTAATTAAACGGTTAAGGTTGACATTTGGACTTCAGGCACATCAGCCTCAAGCAAGACATCACTTGAGCTCAGGTCATACTTGGAAAGTTCTCCCTACAGCCTGACACGCTAGATACTTTTTTTATTGAAAATGAAAGCCAAGACTGCATAATCTTAATATGCATCACAAATGCCAAATGCCTGCCCTCACATAATGGACCTCAACTTGTCCTGTCTTTTAATACAGTAATTCCAGTCTAATAGCCTCAAGGTGTTTCTAAGATAAGACCTCACTCATTTTTCATTCACTCCAACAGTCCCAGTGAAGTAAGCCTGTAATCTGACAGGAACCAGGTGTGCGCATAAACAGATGATGAATGCGAATGGCATCAGCTTTTAAACACAGCAAGGAAAAAAGCTACATGGTAAGTAAAGGTAATGGACAGATAGGATGGTTATAAGGGTATACATGAAGTCACACAGTACTACAACATTAAAAAAAACTGTCTCCGTGTTACTGCTATATTTACCTCCTTTTCTTAAACCTTCTTAATAGCCTCCCCTCACTTCCCTGGTCATAGCTCCCATTTCCTAGCCTTACAAGTTCACATGCACTCATCACCTACTTGTGAAAAGTTCCTAAACTAAGCAGAGCTTGCGCATCCTCACTGCATCAGCAGCTTCTGCACTCAACTACAACCGAGGAGTCCTGCTGGCAGACTCCTCTGTTAAAAAAAAAAAACAACCCAAACTCCACAATGGTGTGAGGAGGCCTGGCAACTTTAGTTTAAAGTAGCTGGTATTTAGAAACACGGTTTTGAGTAGTTTAGATGTGGCCTTTAGTCACAACTGCTTCCTCCTCAGGCGCATCATTACCTGGTGCAAAGCAGCAGCATGTCAGCAGCTCCTCATACCTTGTATTCAGAGTAGTCATTCTCCTCCTCCAGTGAGGACACTACTTCTCCCACAGCCACACAGTAAACTGCCACCTTACGTTACTGCCCATTTTAGAATTTAAGTCCGAGTTTCCAGACAATAAATGCCACAAACATTCGCAACGGACAAGTCAGTTTATCCAAAAAACGGAGGATTAATTTTTACAGTAAAGTGGTTACTTGAACTGCGGTTTACACTCAGCTCCCCGATATCAACAAGTTAACTACACTGTCCCTCTTCAAATATACATGATCTAAAAATAAATGCACTTACAATCACTAGTACTAAATACTATTTTATCCATTATGCAAATACATGATACACAAAGTTTCATAAAATATGTTATTGCGTAACAGTCAGTTTGTAAAGGTCTATCATCATTCATTTTTATGGTTTGTCAGATTTTAATCTATGCTAAGAAAATTTTTTTTCATATTTGAGAATTCCAAAGTTGTTCAAATCTCCTAGAACAGGTAATTTCTAAAGCGGGCTCTCCTAAAGCAACTACAAAACAGTAGCTGGGGAAGAAAGCGCTTGCTACAACTGCATTTGACAGGTGTGACCCACCCCTTTTATGCAGAGAGTTTTAAACTCATCAAAATCAGTATTTAGTCACAAATCCATTAGAATTTTTTGTAAGTCATCCTCCCCATAAGCACAAAATGGAAAGCTCACTTAATCACAGAAACAAACTAGCATGATAAAAGTAAAAAAATCTTCAGTAACATTTAGAGGAAAAAATGTTTGAATCTATTTTTAGTACTATTTAAATAAATCAGGCAATTCTGGACTGTCTCTTTTTAGACTAATCAATATTTGTTTCTACTTCCGAAATTTCTAGCCTAAATTCTCCAGCTAATATCATGCTACTAAAATCTGAAAGAAATAGATATGAAAAAAACATAAATTTATCACATCTGTGTCCAGTGCTACAACAGTTTGTTAAAAGCAAACAAGATTATTCAAAATCCAACTCTATGGTTATTTAATCATCACCTCTGTTTTCCTTTAGATTTTAATATATTAACAAGAGACTTGTTCGGATGTCAATGTGTTCTTTAACTATAAACTAAGCACTGTAGTGCTGCAGCAAAGCAACAAAACCCAAGCATATTTTATGCCTTTTCCCTGTCTGTATTCACGTACCCTCTTTGACAAATAAAGGCTTCAAATGTGAACTTCTGGTTGCACGGAATACAAATAAATGTAATTATTTTTAACCTAATGCTTTGCTAGAACTACTGTGTAAATGTACCATCTCTGCTGTTTTTTAATAGGTTACTTACAGGATTTCATTTTCTGATACTCAAATGTTTGCATTTTATCTGCTATTAATTTACTACAAAGCAAGCAAACGATCCAATAAAAAGTAGTGCTCTTGTGACAGATCCTAAGCTCAAAATTACATATACCAGTCCTGTCCCCGTAAGACTTAACTGGACTTCTCTCTCTGGATGCACAGACTTTTAGAGGCAGTACCAAATTATGCAAGGAGCACAAAATCCCTCTGTCTACAAGATGCAGCATCCAGGAAGCATGTGAGCTTAGGATGTTCAAAGCCCGCCGTGCTGGGTGGCCCTCCCCGCTCCTATTCGCAGAATCACAGGATCTGTATTTTTTGAGGTTGGGAAGAAACCCCTGGGAGGTCATATCGCCCACACCCCCTGCTCAAAGCAGGGTCAGCTACAGCAGGTTGCTCAGGGCTTCGTCCATTCGGCTTTTGAGCATCTGCGAGGACGGATATTGAACCGCTGACCTCCTCCCTCGCCTAGCCCCACAGAGGTCAGCAAACCTGACGACAGCTTGGCTCCTCCCGGCTGCCTGGGATCTCTGCCCACGACGCGTGGAGGCCGTGGCTTTTCGGGCACTGCCGTGCCCCGTCCTTCACGGGAGAGAACAGACGCTC